CCTACCATTGTCATCAAGACAAATTCAACATTCACGTCAATAAACTTGACTACTCCTACACCAGCTACCACTCCACCACCGCCTAAAAAAGTGTTTGGTAAGTGTTTGAATAATTATATGTAATACCATTATCACCTCGGATTCTTTTGTCTTCCGAGGGATGCTTACAAGCGAACATCCCTACTTCATGAATAGCATGAGGGACGATAACTACTACTAATAATAATACAATTAATAGGAAATASGACTCCATGCTGTCCAATTTGAATTATTTCTTAAAAGAAATAATCGGACGAAGAAAATTCCTCGATGACTACCAAACAGCAGACGAAGTCTAACTATTATAACTTAATCGGATTAAAATATATATAAATAAATATTTCTAAATTCGAATAGCAATGATGTTTAGGGCCCCGTTGACTTTCATACGAAAACGTTTCATTCAGCAAACTTTCCTTTGAGGATCTGTACTTCCACACGTATACGAACTCAAATAGATCGAAAATAAATCCGGATTTTTATGGAATACAGGTATCATTTGCATTCTAGGTGCGTGCTTTAAAGGTATGCTATGATAACGTAGATTATAATCTAACCTTTGGATATGCTTGGTTTTTAGTTCTATGTTTGAGAACGGTGTTCATCAACGAGGCTGGCTTTCCATATCGTCTATTCTCCAATATTAAGCCTGGTGGGTACTACGTCTACGGAAAGAATTTCGTTGTTAAATACGTTTTGCCTAAACTAACAGTAGCTGTGCCAACTACAAAACCAAAAGAAGACATCCCCAGTCAATACCTCGGGAAACGAGACACGTGGGATGCCCAACACTCAATGCCCGGATTTAAATATTCGCGTTCTGTTAACGAAAGAACAAAATTGTACCATAAAGTCGAGAAAGCTAAGAAAGTGATTAAAAGGACGAAAAAAAGTAGCTCAAATAATCGGGAAAGAACCAAGAAGAGTAAAACACCTACAAGACAAGATAGTAAGAAACGACATTACAAGAAAATTCWCGAGCAAACTGAAAATGCAGTAAAGAAGTCACTCACAGGAACRAATGAAGACTTGTCACTTAAATCAGCACATGAAGTCTTAAACGCGATTAGTCCTGTTTCTTCGGTGACGTCGCCAAGRCAGAATGATGTCATTGAGGCATTCCCACGTGACGGAATTGCAGGGAATCGTCCGACGCACATTGTGTTCAGCGCCGAGGATCCTTTGGGGAAGTACGATTTACTGATTAATGGAAAAAAGAATATCACGATTATAATCGATTCGGAGTGTCGTTATCCGCACAATCTACAATTGGTAGTCACTAAAAGACCATTCACAAGTAAGTGCTATAAACTAAGAACAGATAACGAGCGTTAAACTAGCTAGTTAAGCCAGTTGTCATATAAAACTTGGCTTAGTGTGTGGAAAGTCTAAAGTGTTTGGGCCTGCCCCCTCAAAACATCACGTTTTCTATGTCAACCATTTGTGTCTGTGATTTTTTGTGTCCGTTGCACAGTCATACARAATCTGCTCACAGACATTATTTCTGTCAAATATTACAAAGGTCTAACGATACCATWAATTAATTCACATTTCAGCAATACCCCCACCAACAACAATAACAACACCACGCACCACTCCACCAACGACATTACCACTGCCTCCACCACTACCAAACATTGAACCGCCACCACCACCAATAATAGAGCTACCTCCTCCACCACCGCCATTAATAGTTACTACTGCGTCAACATCCCCAACACCTGCACAGCAATCAACAACACCAACAGCCACGGTAACAACAACTGCCACACCGACAACACAAAAACCAACCCCACCAACTACATTGCCGACTACAGCGTCGCCTCCCCCACTACCACCGATCATCGTAGCTCCACCGCCGCCGGTCCTGCCGCCACCCCCTCCACCTCTGCCTCCACCAACACAAGTACCAGTTCCACCTCCAGCAGGTAAGCAAAGCTATGATACATGTAATATGGTAATACAGTAGTTAAAGTGGGAACAAGTTGGAAAGCTATGCTACGTATTTTACGACATGTGTATGATTTGTTTAAAGTTGAGAGAGTTAAAATATCTGACTGTCACACATTATGACACCTGAAATCATGAAAAGTGACCTTGCTGCAAAAAGTTCAACGTCGACCTGCATCTTTCGAGACAAGTTYTGCTTTGCTGCAAAAATGCGAGAGACATATTAACGTACCTTAAGCAAAAAWATCGATTCAGTATATTTTGATTCATGGGTTAGGTATTCCACTAATCAATACAAATTGCTTATTTTCAGTCATTGTATTACCAATACCCGCAGAAGGTAAGTATTCTAAGTAACATTATAAAGACACTACCTGCACTCTCTTAAAATGTGTATCATAAATGATTGGTTGACTCTGGGTACAAATGGCATTAATATCTCGTACTATCTTTCAGCTGGGTGTATGCCAACACATGAAGGAACATCCAATGGGGCGTGCTGTAAGTTTCCATTTATTTACCAAGGCAAGAAGCAAAATGGGTGTATTAGAGCAGAGAGGAAGTACCGATGGTGTGCAACGTCAGAAAACTATGATAAAGACAAACAGTGGGGATTCTGTCCACGTAAGTTCATGCGTTCGAATTTTTCGTATGGATCACCGCTGGATGGATGATAATTTACGGATAACACGCTCAAATAAATCAAACATTTTTAAAAAGTATCTGAAAAGCTGTATCAGGATTTATCTGAACGTTCTCAATCAATCTAAATTCGGAATTTTGACTATTTCGATTTTGCAAGTAAGATAAATCCACCAATGTAGAAAGACAAGGACCATTCCAAAAAATACTTTGCAAACATTGAAGACATTATTTGCCTTCCAAAACTTAATCTCATCTTCGATGTTGCATCCTTATAGAATTTTCATCAAGGTACTATTAATAATGGCTATTGATGCACATATTTTTACTCACAATAACACTTGCTTTATCCAAAGACTGCTACCTTGCTCATGGTGGGACAGCAGGAGGTCAATGCTGTCATTTCCCATTCGTCTTCAAAGGCAAGATGTACATGCAATGTCTAAAAGATAGTAATGGCAAGCCATGGTGTGCAACGACCTTTAGCTTTGATAAGGATAAGAAATTTGGATATTGTGGAGGTAAGTGTATTGATCACGAACATCTGTCAAGACAAATAACAAAAGCAACGCATAACACAAACATACAGTACAAATCTTACAACTCAAACTGTACGAMTAGCTAAAATGAATATTTTCTAAGGAAAAGGTGGGGAAAATATAAATGATATCCGAAAGAAGAATTTTTTCTTTACCTTTAAAGCAGAATGAAGCTGTCACATTTCAAAAATCAAATTTGCTATGGGATGGTCTACGGTTAATTATAGACAAAATGATAATGTCGAAAGTCTCGATTTCATTTTGAATTTGGGAGGGTACAGTTATCCAAGGTTTTAAAAGCGATTTTCTTTTTTATGCATGCAACAGTCGGTTTTACTACCCTTCAAAATTTATTTAAGTTATAAAATTAAATAATCTGAAATTTTTCTCATTTGTCTGCTTAAGTTATGGAATAGACTACAGCTATTGTGATTCGCAAATATGACGATGGGTTCATTGTAAAGAACGACCATACTTCAGCATCAAATGAGCAAACGGTCGTGCAAGGATTACATACTGCAGTTGTATCGTAAACCAGCTATTAACACTCAAGATTTAAAAAAGTGAATGTTTGACAATCAAGATCGCTTTTTTTACTTTTTAGACGATATCTTTGAAAAATGAAGCCATTAYACAAATGTGTTCCTACATACACWATGTRAATTAAACTTGTCTGGAATGCATTTTCAGAATCGGTATTTTGATTGACCACCCTATAAAACACCCAAAATCGCTGATCCCTGAAWAATACTTTTTCCTATATTGATGATAATTTTAATGCGTGATTACATACCTTCGAAATTAGAATACATGTTATCCTCGTCCTTCGTYGCGTTGATCTCCCCTCGAGTTCATTGGAGGAGGAAGAAAACGGTTCCGATTCAGAAATGCATTCCACAAAGTCAAAAATATTTTGTCCTTTGCATCGGTAACCATTTTTCTTCCTCCTCCAAACAGACTCAGSCAAAGCTCCAGGCACCCAGCCGTGCAACCCTGCATGTAAGTCAAACTGTCTGCCAACATGCCCAGTTAAATGCTGTATGGGAAGTGCTGCACAAGGAAAAGGAGCGAATTGTCCTCCACAATGTGCACAAGTATGCGAACCAGATTGTCCGGCCAAATGTTGTACAGGTATCCTGAAGCTGACGAATAACAAACCTGGTACAAAGGAGTGCCCTMARGAGTGCTTCGTGATGTGCAAACCTTATTGCCCTCAAAAATGCTGCATGTCCGAGCTTACTCCAATTGAGCCCAAGTCAAAAAGTTGTCCGGACGASTGTAAACAAAGYTGCAAACCAGATTGTCCAGTTCGATGCTGTAAAGGTTTCATGATAGAGGAAAAGACATGGATTGAAAATCTCCCATGTCCCAGTCAATGCTCTCCTACATCTTGCAGGCCTAGCTGCCCCATTAAATGTTGCACAACCATAGTATTGCCTACTGGATCCAAAGCTAAGTCCTGCCCAGCACAATGCTCACAAAGTTCTTGCCAGGCAAATTGCCCAGCACAGTGCTGCCAAGGCCCTACGAATACTAAAGCACCGGATACAACAGCTTGTCCTCCCCAGTGTTTACAATCGTGTAAACCAGATTGTCCGGCAAGGTGCTGTCCAGGAATGATGACTACAAAAGTACCAGATACGGCAGTATGTCCTTCTCAATGTTTGCAGAAGTGTAAACCAGACTGCCCCGTTAAGTGCTGCTCTGGAACTATTACCACAGCAGCACCAGAAACGACAGCATGTCTTCCTCAATGCTTAGAGACGTGCAAACCAGACTGTCCCGCGAAATGTTGTGCTGGACTAGTGCCTGCTGAGAAGACAGAAAAACCCACCAACTGTCCACCTCAATGTGTTAAAGTATGTAATCCAGGCTGCCCTTTAGCATGTTGCCTTGGAGGAAGTACTTCCAACTCAGGGACACAACAATGTCCCCAGGAATGTTCCCATTCCAACTGCAAGCCTGACTGCCCAGAAAAATGCTGTCTGACCATTCTTACTCCTATGAAAGCAGCGTGTCCAGCACAGTGCAATCAAAATTCCTGTTCCCAAAACTGTCCACAACACTGCTGTCCTGTGAAAGAAGGATGTCCTGCTGAGTGTTCATCACAGTCTTGTAATCCTGAGTGCCCGGCAAAATGCTGTACAAAGGTATCAACGCCTTTGAAGTCTGATTCGTGTCCGCCCATTTGTATCAAGATATGCCGTCCTGGATGTCCACMAAAATGTTGCAAGAACGAAGCAACACCAACAGAATCTCCCAACTGCCCTCCCGAATGCGCTCAAAAGTGTACTTCGGAATGCCCACCCAAATGCTGCTTCACTATTTTGCAACCTTTGCAAACGTGCCCTCCAGCCTGTAACGAACAAAGCTGTGAGGAAAATTGTCCAGATTCGTGTTGTCCAAAGCCTGTTCCAACTACACCACCACAAACAGCTACTTGTCTTCCTTCGTGTGAATGGGCATGTTTGCCATCTTGTCCCAGAGAATGCTGTGCAAAAGAATTCCCAGGAGAGGATCAGGTCAGATCACAGACAAGACCGTATTCTTGCCCTTCAGAATGCTTGGTTTCGTGTCAGCCAAATTGTCCGTTCAAATGCTGTCTTGAGGCATTCACTAAGGCGGCAGCTCAAAGTGCGCAAGTCGCCAAATTAAAAACGTCCAATAAATGCCCGACGTCATGCTTCACTAAATGTTCTCCTTCTTGTCCGGTGAAATGCTGTTCCATTGTTGTTACATATGATAAAAAGACAAACATAGCGGGAACAAAATTAGAAAAAGCAAAAGTGCAAATGAAAAGAGGATATTTAAGGAAAGTATAAAAGCACCGTAAAGAGTTTTTTTATGAAATTCGCAGTAGTATCTTTAATTTAGACAAGCAGAGTTCTTGTTAATTATTTGTGTTTGTCGTCGAAAGAAGAGACGAATTTGCCTAAACAGCTACATCAAGAGCGAAAACTTAGAAGGGAATTCCAACAAAATATTGAGCCTGATTGTCACTAGGATATAAGCATAGCCATAAGCTAAGAACAAAGGAAAAGACAAAGTTTAAGTGGGTGCGAAAGAACAAAGAAAGCATCTTCTTACTCTCTTCTTAATTCCTTTCTAATCCTTCTTAATTTCCTTCGAATTCCCCTAATGCTTATAGCGCAGTGTACACCAGGCTTTATTCATTAAGCAAAAACAATAAATAAATCAATTCAATAGCATGCTCAATATAATTTAAACCTTTTTTTAATTTACACAATTATCGACCTATAAAAACGCACTAAATCAATTATTATTGTCGTACAAAAGAAAACATAATAAAGCAATTTTTTTTATTTAATATTGGCACTGTCATTGTATTCTTACGAGATTTGTCTTCCAAGGTCTCGTTAAGAAAAAAAAACCCTGAAAAACGTTTGCCCCGATTTTATCACGTGATTGTGAAATACCTTTTTAGACTGGTTCACAATGGACACACAAGCATAAAATAATGAAAACTTTCCGTGGATGACTCTGGTTAAATTATTTTTTCCTAAAAACTGTGAGTGTTTCACATGAGCCATATCCCTAGTATTTAAACAAATTTCGACTGTTTGTTTACGAGAGCTTGAAAACAACAGAAAAAGTCCATTAGCATTCTTTCAAGCTACCCAAGTCCGCTTACAAGAATGTCCGTTTCATGGAAATTGTGAACTCGGTGTTTGTGGGATTGTCGCATGAAGACCTTCAACTGTACATTGACAAATTAAATGCTGTGATGTTGTGCTTATAGTTTGCCGAACAATTACCGAACATGAAGTCCAGACTAGTGTCCATATTTGAGTTAAATACATTACATCCAGGCAATTGCTCTTCTTAGAACGATGACAAATAATGCCCATTTAATCAAATCTAATAACATCTCACGTACAGCTCTCACTTGCCTGACTGCCGGAAAGATATCATTTCCTTATCTTCCGCACCATTTCTGAATAAGATGTCATAGACATTCAAAAGGTATCACAGAAATTTTGATTTTCACGTAAGAAAATAAGATACGCACACGAAGCCATGCTGCTTACGATTATGTTATTAATTAATCCACTAACAAATTCTAAATAGGTACCTTTTACAATTATTTTCTTAACTGGAAAGTTAGGAAAAATATGTAGACATATGATCAATCGATTATAGGACTCCATGCTCTCCAATTGTGAAATAATTAGACTAAATTGAACTCGTCCAATTAAGCAGCATGCAGAACTATAACATAATACCACGATGATATTCCAAAACTAAATAACGCCATAATGAGGGKTTTTTTTMTTTTTTTTAGCATACACGCTAGAAATTTGTTAAATAGTAGAGTGTAGTTTAGATTTGATTTATCGTGTATTGGGCAAAAAAAAACAACARCAACAACTAAAGAGGGGATGTATTAATAGTAATAGAGTCGAGACCGAAAACCAGAGAAACAGATAATACCCAATTAATATAAGAAAACGAAAAGAACCAAACAAACAACAAACACATTAACAAAACAATGGCAACGATGACAAAGACAACAATATCGTTTAAAAGCGCAAAGTTTCTTGAACGTTGAGATTTGAATTYCTTTTTAATTMATTGCATTAGGTCACGCTCCAGGATCTTTTCCAGTGGAGAGCTTGCCTCCACTTCCGCTTTGCCACCGATCTTGTATTGGTCACTGTACTGATGCCTGTCCAGACTACTGCTGCACTCTTGGTATGATGGGAAAACAGAAGAAACCAAAGATGATAGTTTGTCCCATCATATGTTCCAGTAAATGCGAGACTTTTTGCCCGATCAGATGCTGTAAGGACTCCAAGCACTTTAATATCAATCATAACATAGCAGAATCAACCGGATTTGAGATGAGAAAACCATCGCGACCCTGTCCTGACGTGTGCCTAAAAAGATGCCTCCCAGACTGTCCAATCAGRTGTTGCACGGAATCTGGCGCGGATAAACTTGGTGACATTCCTGGCCCACAGTCACATCAAGATGTATGTCCAATGTATTGCATCAAAACATGTGGACCCGACTGTCCAGTGAAATGCTGTGCAGCTATTCCAAAGGGAATATCAACCATGATTCACGGTAGCAGTAAAAGCAATGACTGCCCAGAAAGCTGTTCAGAAGATTGCGACCCTGACTGCCCTATGAAGTGTTGTTCTAGTAATTTAAAACATGCTTCAAATATGGAGAACCTGGAGTCTAGTTCGTGTCCTTCTTCATGCGAGGAATCTTGTCTCCCTCCTTGTTCGGTGAAATGTTGTACTGATATAGGTCCTCWGACAGAAAATGACAAGTCTTGTCCAGCTGATTGCAAGGAAAACTGTAGTCCTGACTGCCCTGTGAAATGCTGTACTGGTTTAAATGGCAACGGTACATGTCCAAGTATCTGTGCAACTAGTTGTCTGCCATCTTGTCCTGTTTTCTGCTGCTCTAAATCAGATAGCAAACCAGAAGTATCGACAACTCTTAAGCCAACACTATCCCCATGTCCAGAGATATGTGTCGAAGATTGCTTGTCGTTCTGTCCCGTGAAATGCTGCAGCCTGGGACCATCAGGGTGTCCTGCTGTGTGTTTGACGACATGCTTGTCATTTTGTCCACCTAAATGCTGTTCAAAGACGACAACAACAGTATCACCAGCAACATCTGCACCTTCAGAATGCCCTTCGATCTGCACGCAGAAGTGCGAACCAAATTGTCCCATTAAATGCTGTCCAAGTTTTAAAGTGGAACCAACAACCGAACCCACAACAATGACACCAATTACATGCCCATCCATCTGCGAGGAAACATGCAAACCTTTCTGCCCTATAAAATGCTGCTCTGTTCTTATTACCCCTAGACCAGGACATACCAATTCTATAATGTCCAYGACGACCAAATCCTGCCCATCTATTTGCAAGACAACATGTCAGCCAGATTGTCCAGTCATGTGCTGCCCTGGACTATTTACGTCAACAACACCGTCTGCCATTACACTTAGTACTCCTAGCACTTGTTCTCCTGTTTGTTATGTTTCATGTCTTCCAAGTTGCCCTCTCAAGTGTTGTCCCAGTCTTAGTACTCCACCATCAGCGACAAATTCTTTAAGTGAACACAAGACAGATACTCCGCCAACTTGTCAACCTTACTGTATTATCAAGTGCATGCCGGAGTGCCCTTTAAAATGCTGCCCTCAATTGAAAACAGTTTCTCCAGAAGAAACAACAACACCAAAGTCTACCACATGTTCGCCGTCCTGTATGGTTGTGTGCTTACCAACCTGTCCGTTGCATTGCTGTTCAAAAGAAAATGAGAAAGTTAAAACAACTGCTGCTCCTAAAACCGACTCTAAAGGCCAGCCATGTCCTCAAACTTGCAATGTCGCATGTCTCCCAATTTGTCCGATGGAGTGTTGTGTAGACATAACTGTACCAGCGCCTCAACCCCCGCCAATGACACCGCCACCATATCCTCCACCACCATACCCTCCACCTCCGCCACCCCCTGCTTCCTATTCCCCACCAGAACCTCAATCTCAGCAGCCACCTCCCCCCTATCMTCCACCGCCATCTCCTCCATCCTATCCTCCCCCACCACCTCCTCCACCCTATCCTCCACCACCACCTCCTCCACCCAATCCTCCCCCACCACCTCCCCCACCCAATCCTCCCCCGCCACCTCCACCACCCTATCCCCCTCCGCCACCTCCTCCATATCCTTCGCCACCTCCTCCTCCACCCTATCCTCCCCCACCACCACCACCATATCCTCCACCTCCTCCCGAGTATCCTCAACCACCCCCTGCTCCTCCACCTCCACCACCATATTCACAACCAACAGAATTTCGCCACAAACCACCAACCATTCCATCTGTTTCTTCCTCTACTAAAATTTACTGTCCACCATCATGTGCACATGCGTGTGTTGCAAGTTGTCCTATACAATGCTGTACGGACCTACTGACGGTCAGACCAGAGGAATTACAGCCAGATCCAGAACCAAACCCACTGCTATCGAAAGATACGTCACAAATGGACAACTGCCCATCAATATGCGCAGAAATCTGCTTGCCCAAATGTCCACTGAACTGCTGCATCAAATCCATCACCGGAGTACCACGAGAAACGTTATATTCGCGACATATGCCATGTCGCAGTGAATGTAGAATACACTGTGGTAGAAAATGTCCTCTACAATGTTGTTTGCCGGCTGCAAAAATTCCGTTTCGGAAACCTATGAAAAATCAAATGCGGATTCCAAATAGACGGATAAATGTGAATCTTGGGAAGCAAACCCTTGTGGGTGGTCCAGCTATAAGACTTATGACATCTATGAATACTAATACAAGGAAGGCTCCAGTAAATTCAGCGTATTCTAGAGAGTTACTTCGGAGGAAGAAATTGATGGRAAATTCGTTTTTGTCGAGATCATTGCCATCGTACTCGAGGGATCTAAGTACGAGATCAAAGGTGTCGTGTCCCCCCGGATGCCAGCAACGATGCAGTAGAATCTGTCCTAGGATGTGTTGTGTAATACCACAAAAAGCAAGTAAGTAAAACGTTTCTGCTCCCTATTTTAAGAGCTACCACCAAGTATGATATTTAATGTGCTTAATTTTTTTTTTTCTAAAAAGTGTAGATATTCACAAACATTCGCTGAAATGAAGCTTTGTTAATTGTTCGTATGTAAATGAATGTCACGACCGCGCTGACTCTTGATGATATTAGTTGCTAGTCCCATGTGAAATTTTACCGCATTCTAACCAATCCAGAAACAACTGGCACTTGAGAGACRTGTAATTAATCTAAAAAAAYCATTTATAATTTACACCCAATCGGGAAATGCTAATGCGATAACATGCTACGGTTTTTTATCCTTGATAAAACACTACTGCAAGTTTTCTATTTGATTTGAGTTTCAGCAGAATGAATGTTATTGTTCTTTTCAGATTGTAGGAGTAATATAAAGACTACTTCAGGCCTGTGTTGTACAATTCCTTTTATATACCAGGGCGTGGTCAACTGGAGGTGTATAAATAGACACAGTATAAGGCCATGGTGTTCGATCACTAGTAACTACGATATAGGCAGACAATGGGACTATTGTTTATTATAATACAATGGCGTGTGATAGCAGGCTAATATAAGAGCGCGAAAAAAGATAGGAAACGTGTAGAATACCAATATCACGTGATGAAATACTGAAGAGCGAATAGAAAGCCAATAGAGCCTTTCGTGGTTAGAATCAAAGCGAGCAACCTGTTTACTGCAGCCCTCAAATGCCAAAATCAAGACTTTCTTCACCAACAAAAAATATTTTCCTGAAATTRCAAAAGACAAACAAGATCAAAAGGAACAATTTTTATGAGATATTGCGCGATTCTGGTTTTGGTGCAAAACTAACTTTTTTTCTAGCCGCGTAAATGTCTATTGTTACACGTTCAGTACTGGAATGAACGGACATTAAAGCTGTGAACAACATCCCTACAGTGCAATGGTAAAATATATGCACAAAATAAGAAAGCATTGGATATTTGACGTTAAAAATGTGTCAAACTAGCATAAATTTAACTGTTTTGGGGAGTTGTCTCTTTATGGTAGTTAGGTCAGTTTTKCACTAGATGCGATTAGGGAATCTAAATGTAACTGAGCAGCTTATGTCGTAGCTCAGTTATTGACTTCTTATTTAACGTAAGTTATCTTAATATAAGCTATTTTATTATAATTATAATTATAAATAATTATATTATAATTAAAGATGATAATRACAATATTGTACAGTATAATCAAATAGTAGCAGCCGTTTTCACGTGAGTGGCAAAACCTCATATYCATTGATAACCGGGTTTTTTTATCACAATTACATATTCATTCAATGTCTGATAGGTCGAGAGCCGTGAATGAAATAACATACAAAGGTCGCATATTTTCTTTTTCTTTCCTTCTTTTCTTTTTTTTCTTCTTCTCTTTTGTTGTTCTTTTCTTATTTTTTCTTTTTCTTTTCGTGTCTGCATCTTTATTAAATCGATCCCACCAGAATATCACTGTAACGGTATGCATTTGCTAGGCAGAATGCAGACCGTGTGCCACTCACACGAAAACGAATCTGTTTTAAAGTGTGTGACGGTTTAACGATAAAAAAGAGTTTATATTCATAGTTATAAAGTGGTTAGATAGCGTAGTCGGGGAGCATTTTATATTATAGCAAAATAAATATTCAGAAAACAGTTTGAAGTATGTTTATCGATATTTCACAACATCTGTTATCTTTGTGTCAAATTTATTTTCCTGGATGAGAAAGCCGCAATGAAAAATGATAACTTGGAAAACTTTCAGCAGATGAAAGGCAATTGACAATAAAAATACATCGTTACATAAACTTACTCTTTCTATCGCTTAATTTATATGGAGATATTCCAGGATTTCATTTTAAAACCAACGGATGGATATTTAAAAAGAAACACGACTGCATTGAATGCTACTCTAAATCTGATAAAAAAACTTATTATTATTGTTCTTACAGCACTGGATATACAAGTAAATTCATTTTGACATCTGACGCATCCCAAAAACTATTKGCAATTGTGCAGTAATTCTCTTATAAAAAAGCAACAACTGAATATGCAGATTAGATGATTACAATTCAATGCCGATAACTTACAGTACGTCAGGATAATTAAATGGTTTTAAAAGTAAAGCTACAATATGATTGGTTGGATCAAGTCGAGGCTGATTACCTAAAGTACGTCATTGATACATAGACATGCTTTGATGTAGGTCAAACACGCACATTGGGAGAAGAAACGACGTTGTCGTTACAGATTTTGAAGATTGGAAAAACAGCATTTCGATAATCGATTCTTCGCTAAAAGGTAATGAAAAATTATCATTGTCATCACAACTATTTATAATTGACACTTTTTGTCGGCAACGAATTTAGTATTTCTATGTTCAGATATATTCAATATAACGCATACCTGATTTAGTTTCTATGCCTTTTAAAAAAAATTATATGATAGATATAAACATGTTTTCGTGGACTTAAAAAAGTATTTTTAGGAAAGTAGCGGAGAATATAGCTATTTCTACCCTTGTCCCAATGTTTCGATTTCTTTTTACTCTTTGCTACCTGTTTTTGTTGTCGCGAAAATGGCTCGACTTAGGGCCTTGTCGTATACTGTTTTCTAAGTATATTATGTAAATATAGGGAAATGTAAATATAGGGAAATCAGAAATATCTTTTAAATGTAACATTTTAGATATCACTTTTCAGAAACGTTCAAAAGAAATATTTTCCCCGATTGAATATCGAACAAGACGAATGTGACGGGTTGTCCAGTTGATTAACAGTTAAATCCCACGTATTTTAATTTTTTCAATACAGTTAATAAATGGCAGTGATTGAGAGCGCTTTTTCGACAATTATCTGTGATGTTTTCAATCGCTTCGAAAGTTCTATGCCATTTATAGATATGCAGATGACATTATTCGGTTGTCAATACAAAATTTCATTTCTACCCTTTTTTGTCTTTTCTTGTTTTTGTTTTTGAATTTAAATCAAATTTTTAGTTTTCTATTATACTTGTAAACTCATGATAGATGTTAGTTTTCGCGCGGTATAAACTACAGAAAGAAGAAAAAAAGYAAGAAGAAAAGTTTTTTTCTGTTTTCTTTCTTATCTTTCCTTTTTTGACTGTTCTTCGTTTATTTTAGTCCATATAACGTTCAAAAGTAACACTCCAATTCTCATTTCAGAAGAAAAAATATCCAGCCAAAATGGAGCCGGACCTAGTCCTTGCGTCAGGGAAATTATCCACGAAATATCACATATCCACGGCTACTTTTGGCATCGTAGCCACTCCCACCTTGATAGCCAACGTATTGCTCTTGTTCATCGTGTTTCGCAGCACAAACTTCCGTGACCTTAGTACCATGTTAGTGGCTTTTGTRAGCATCGCTGACGTCATGTATATCGTATACATGTGTGTTTACATTGCCATTCAATATTCCCTTGATGACATATCAGACATAGCGGCCACGATAGTTATAACACTGCAAAGCATACTGCGCATGTCACCAACAATTATTTTCATAATTGTGGCTTATAATTGGTACATCGCGAAGTTCAAGCCTATAGTTTGCTACAAGTTCCATCAGATTCCAAACATCTCGATAAAATGCTTTATGTCATCATGGGCTGCATCTGTTGCAGCTTGTGTTGGGGTTCCCTTTGTAGTGTGCCATCGATTCCAAAAGATCCATTTTCTAGCGTACTCAGTTTCCAGTTTCTCACTTCAGTTGATCGCCCTGGTTGTTGAAATCATTTTGCATGCAAAGAATCTGCTGAGGACAAGTGAGGAACTTGCGAACTGTACAAAGATAAATAATCTGCTCGCCTTCAATCTRAAAATCACCAAAGTGTTTCTTTTCCTTTTGATTGCATACTTCGCTTCAATTGCACCAATTTTGCTCTATCCTTTCTTTGATATCCAACTGGGTTTACCAAGCGGTCATTTCCATATTTTCCTTTACCATCTGACCAGCTGCTTTCCCTGCCTATTGAACCCTATATGCCTTTACTTCATCAGTCAAAAGTTCCAAGACGAGTTAAGATGCTTATTCGGGATGTCAAAGACCACGAAAAGTCCTAAAGAATGCAATCCTATCGTACCTGAGGCTTTTTCTGCAAACAGAGGATTCTTTGAACCACGTACTCCTACTTGGCGACAAGGAAACGAATACTGGAATCGTGAAGCTATTTACGGAGAATACCCCTCTGTAGCTCCACTTAAAGAAACTCCGAAGAAAAAAGAGAATGGAAAAAAGAAAGACGTACGGTTTTCTGACATTGTTGAGGAGGTCGAGCCCATTTCCCCCGCACCTGTATCTTTAAGAGCATTCGGAGTAGGCCCGGGACTATCGGCATTATCAAATGAGCCAGGAGCACCAAGATCGCCCAAGTTGCAACATAAACCAATCAAAAATCAACATCAAGCCAGTAAAGTAAAGGACCTTCCCAAATCAACACAAGCCGACCAATCATTAGGTTCTCACAACATCCCAAATCAATTAATCAGCGCGCTTGATCTGGGAACAAAGGAGATGAAATGGGGAGGCTCTTGGCCTCGCTCACAGACTTCCCCATACAACAGCTTCGATGATATTGACCTTTCGAGGCACGGACCGGCAAGTCTACTGCAGCAAAATAAACAATTCAAACGCAATCTTATAAAACGAAGTAGATCATGTTATCACCCTCGTAGGATTGATAGTGATGGCTTCGGCGTTGCATCCTCCCAGAATTCAGAAACAAAAGTTCGCAGAACAGTTTCAACGACGAAAACCACAACGGTACAGGTCCAAATTGATGTTCATGAAAAGGAGGAAATCAAAGAAACATATCTATAGATATAAAAGAAAACGACATCTTCCATCGCATAGGACCACATGCAACGTAAAAACATGACGTCAATAGAAATCGACGGTGTAAGTTTGGGTCGTTATTGTAAAATAAAAATAATACCAACTAAAAATGTTTGTTGAAGAAGCGATTCTAAATAAGTGAGCTGACTGACGTTGCTGTTATCTTTAAGTATTATGATGATAACCATAAAAGGAAAACCTTTGTGACACCCTCAAAGATATCAGATCCCTAATTTTTACCCCTAAAAGATACGACGATCATCCCCACCCTTCCATATATGGGARTATCCGCCTCCCCTCCCAACTCGGCGGGCGGATCGTGAATGGATATTTGAAGTTACCTCATATTTAGGAAAAAAACGAACGCATTGAATGCTGGTGGACCATTTCCCTTAAAAATGTTAGCAAGTAGTATTCAACTTTTCCAAAAATTAAAAAACCCGTGGAGATTATCAAAGCTTAGCTAGTAGTGCATAGTGCTCTCCCGACAGATTTTTTAATTCCTGCAACCAAGAATACTAACAGCGCATTTACTCCGTATTGAAATTGCAAACTTTTTCGCGCACAAGAAAGCAAAGCAATTTCAGAGGACTTTTCGAAAGCAACGTCAAATAAAAATCCCTAAATCGTACGATTTAGTTACAGCAGAAACCGTTGCATCGAGACTTTGACGTTCAAAAGACATCGTTGGGATTTGAGTTTTCTTCGAGGACTTGAGGGAAGGGATATCAACAAATAACAGAACGAGTTTACGAAAAGCTCCGCCCCTAAGATCCCAGCAAAGAACAAAATAAGCATCAAGCGAGGAAGTCGCGGCGATACAACGACTTTCACAGTAAAAGAAAGCCATTTTTASGAGTCAACTGCGATAGATTGTCACGTGAATTGCATAATCAAGTCAATGCATATATATCCTGAGTCTTTACTGATATATTTATATTTAATCTACAACCATAACCTGTATATTTTTTACAACAGCTGCATGTACATATGTAGAATGCCATATTTTATGCGTAAATAAAAACTATTATCATATGACCCGTATTTCGGCCCTACACGCGCACTTGAAAAACCTTCGGAAAATGGTCACGTGATGAGGGCTGTATGCCTTTTCGCGACAGGGCCGTACAAACCCGTATTTTCCCGGCTTGAAGTTCCGCGCGCTTTTGTTCATTTTTTTACATCAAAAAACGCTGTCATATGATAAAATGCTTATTGACTGAGTTAGGTCGATGCGCTCGTTCCGTACGGCATAAACTCGAGCCAAATATTTTCCCGCACGTCCCTCYCACTCAGTCAATAAGTACATAGTTWTAACGTTTAAAAGTTTAATACTTGTTATCACATTTGGTAAATCAGTCTTTGAGTGGCCAAACGGCTCATAATACACAACAAACGAGGGAGCAAAAATTGCTAAATAGGCGATGTGCAGCGACGCCATTTTGTGCTGCAAAGCATGATGGTATTTGTAGTCCTCACACTTATTCTAGACATCTATTTTGGCTTAGAAAAAKCAAAAACATTTCCGAAAGACCATTTTAGCGGACGTGAAAAAGTACGAGTGCTACAACTACCATCATGATTTGCCACACAAAATGGCGTCGCTGCACATTGCCTATTGTAAAGAGCGTCTGAAAGACTTTAACGATACGTGTAGGCAATTTGCAGTGATGTCATTTCCTCGAGCAAAGCTTAAGAATGAAGGGAAATAGAGTCCTTGCGATTTGAATAATCTCTATAAAATCAGTTTACGCTGTTTATWGTTTATTGGCAAAAATTGTCAGGACTTCTTCCCTCTTAGAAAAAAGTAAGATAAATATTTAAAAAACTAAGTTTTGGATCAAAATATCGGGCATTAAAAATATTCCAACTGTTGCAGTTTTATAAATCGCGATTTGCTATAGAAAATAGCGTTCCTGCGAATTGCCTACACATCTTTACCATAATGGCCGCCATTTATTTAATCATAAATTTTTAAAATTTMGAATTTTAGTAAAAGTAAACTGACAGCTGATAGGAACCTGTGCTAATAACAAAATAAAAAAGTTTGAAATGAAAAATATTAAATTCTGGTGAAGTTATAAGGATTTAAAATATATGATAAAACAGAACGAGGCTATAAAGGCCCTCTGAAAAATACATACATTTCTTTGTATATATAATATCAAAGAGGCAAGATTTTGCTGTTACTCCGAGTATGATAAAACAGAACGAGGCTATAAAGGCCCTCTGAAAAATACATACATTTCTTTATATATATAATATCAAAGAGGCAAGATTTTGCTGTTACTCCGAGTAACAGCAAAATCTTGCCTCTTTGATATTATATATATAACTAGCTCTACACTTTATGTGTATTGAGCACTCTTTAATGGGATCAGCTACTTCCTCATACAATTACATTTCTTTGTATTTTCATTTCTCCATAAATTTGTTCACATTTAATACAGGGCTGTAAAACTTTCCAAAAATGTATATTTCTGGTAGATCATTCACAAAGTTTTCACATATTTCATATTCAGAAACAAATAAGACAGACAGCCACATTTCTTTATATTTTCATTTCACCGCAACTTTTTTCCTATTTTGTCCAGAGTTCTACATTAACGTTCCAAAAACGTTTATTTCTGATAGTTCTTTGATGATACAGTGACAAAATATTGATATCTATCTTATTTTGGAAAAGCACAAATGCAGCCATTATGGTAAATGTTTATAGCTCGGTGAAAAGGTGTTCTTTTATTTTAACAAAGGAAAAGCTACCTTCAAGATGACACGTTGAAAATGTTGAGATTTATTAGGTAGTTATTTTCATTGCATGAGTTTTCAAGAACCAATCACTGTGTATTTTTACATGTACCAAGTATCAATATTGTTTCAAAGTTCTTTTTCACTTTATATTTAACATTGGTGATCCCTYGGGTGTTTCAAGACTTACTGCTGTTTCGACCACCCTTTTACTTGTCTCCAAAAGAACTGTGTGGTCGTTAAAGTTCTCATCGCCCTTAATACTGGAGTACAAATCAATGTTGGGCTGCATGTAGCTTTCTCGGTGGGATGWAGATGRGGTAACCCAYRTACTTCCTGCATTAAGCTTACTAGATAACTTTGAGTAAGCTTGTCCACATGTAGKTTGSTTGTTACTTCTTGCTTGTAATGGAGTAGCCATGCATTCCTGTTTTGTGGATTGCAATATTTCTTCTTTGTCAAGTGTTTGAGATGAGGTGACTGCTGGGTCTTTTTTTCTGTGCAACATTTGTGCTGAATAGGCAGGTGTAACTTGCTTTTTATGTGACTCGATCAAAGTAGTGCTCAAGTAGGTTTCTTTTGTCTTGGATGATGGTTCAGGTTCAGACTGTTTTGAGAGCTTYGGGTTGAGATATTTTGCAACAATTTTCTTGGATTCTTTGCAAATCTCTTCAAAATGCTCTCCTTTGAAGCTTTCAATTGCTTCCAGCTTTGCTTTTTCAATTCTGTTCAGATTTCTTTCTTCTACTTCTGTGTCATTTTTTGGCTCTAAYAACTCCTTTTTTGTATCTGATGAAACAGATTGTTTGTTGCTGTCAGATAATGGGAGCCTTTCTAGCTCACTGCCTTTTGAAGATTTGAMAGCTACAASTTTTGCACTCTCTGATCTGGTTATTCTTCTTGTAGAAACTGGCAATGTATTGGATACACAATGGTTCTCTGCCTTCTTTCTTTCTGTTTTGCCTTTGTAATTGCTTATAATCTTTTCTTCCTCCAGYCTACTTCTCTTTTTGGGAATTGTGGAGAGAGAGACATTCTCAAACGCCTTATCAACTTCAACCTTGGCCTTCTGYAGGCGAGTCAGGATCTTTTTCTTAGGAACTTGATTTTGAGAGTCACTATCTTGAAGTTTTCTTTTATTTCGATTTGGTATCATTTGTCCCAGTTTGACGTTTTTGAAGGCAGAATTTGCTTCCATTTTTGCTCTTTCAAGCCTTAAGCAATAAATCAAAAGATGWAAATACTTTTATTGGTAAATTAAAGGATTAAAAAACAATATCCTTTTCAGGAATCGCTTCTTTACGTTGAAAATAATAATCAAAATATAGTCAGCAATATTCAGCTCTAATTCTCATGTGATTCGAAAGACAAAAGACCCACAGTCATCTTGACTGGTTGAATAAACAGTAGATACACTAAAGAGAATCTATTGTTGAAGATCAATCAAGATGGCTGTTGACAAAGCTGATGATGGCCGGCTGGTGATGTTTATTGCTAACAAAGAATTTGTGGTCACCTATTATATATTGAATCTAGTTCCTGCAGGAGCCAGCTGACTGGAGAACAGTACTGTCCTGGCATGTACATTAATATAGTTTTTGTGATTGACTTATTTGAAGGATAAGTTATGTTAGAATCTAATTTAATTTTTTTTAAATAATTCATAAAAATCAATTACATGTAATCATACATGTGCCAATTAAGACCCTCCCTGTGCTACAGTATGTACTGACTGGAGAAAACTTTCATCAAATTTATACCACTTTAATCAAATCTATATGGCTGCAGTATTCATATTTAATACTAGTGAACTATAGACGTTCCAGACCCTACACCTTATTGCAATAATATTGCAGTCACAGAGAAATAGAACATTAAGAAAGTACAAAGTTTGTACTTAATATTAAGTAAAAAGGAATTTATTGAGTCTAAATGTCACAGCTTTTGCCCCACAACAACAGTATTTTAAGATGACTGGCACTGCCTACTACATGTACTTCAGCCTTTACTAATACAAAGACAAGACAATCACACAGTACTCCACATGACGTTCATTTGCCTTTTTATAAATTCCTTTTACTAATATGTACATGGGGATATGTTCTTTTYCTCTATGACAATTTAGTGTCCATAACTACAATAGTCTAGTTCAYGGTTATCTGAGCCATCTTGAAAGGTAGCTGTACTTTTGCATCGAAGCGAGACAACTRTTGAGYATGCAATGATAGAAACCTTCTTTCACTCCTAAAGACAATTATTCACAGGTTTCTATCATTGCAYGCTCAACGGTTGCCCTGCTTCGATGTAAAGGCACTGCTACCTTTCAACATGGCACAGGTAACCGTGAAGGAGACTATTGTTTATATTTTTTTGCAATTAATAAAAAACAGTATACAGTATGACGCTATGCGTCATGGTTTCCTACGCTTCTCTCATGCTCTCCCTACATCCCGTGTGTTTTGATCAGAGTATCAAACACGGAATTTCGTCTTTTATTCCTCAAATTAATAATAATACACAATATGTACAATATTTATGATAAACACGATACCTTGTTAAAGCTCTTGATTGATTTGTACTGGTAGTCTTGGTCACTGATGACTGCAGTTTGGCATGGAAGTCATCTTTTTTCATAGACAAGGAGTCAAAACCTTCATTTCCAAATGCTGCCAGAGCCTCAAGTCTTGCTCTTTCAACCTTATTATAATGCAAAAAGTGAGCAAAATTAGACAAACAATTTATGTGTGACACTTGTGCTGTATACAGCTTGTAAATTATCGCGTGCTGATTGGCTGAGGACATGCACACTATGCTGACACCATCACGCCATCATGTGCGTGCTCAGTTGAAAGAAAAGAATGATTTCACAATTTTTTAGACTTAAATGTGATCAAAAACAAMTTGCATACACTGCGATCATGGGTCCACTTTTGAAGATTTCATGACATCAAGAGTGCATCAATAATAGCACATATCACTCAAAACCATGAACAGTTTGTTAAATTTTAGTGTGCTGAATACACACACACAATAGGACATTTGCAACTGGGGAGAATGGTGACCACCACTACCATAAAACAATGAYCTACATGGCAAAATGATGCCCAAAAATACAAGGGGCTGGTAAGGTCAATTTTAATTCTAAATATGATTTTGAACTACAAGTGTGTAGTACATGTATATAATATGATAAGAAAAAATAAGATGTTAAAGGGATACTTGGACGAAAACTGCAAAACATTAGAAAAGACTTGGAAATCAAATAGACCTATCCATATGGGTGTAATAATCATG